AGTAATATGGTCTAAAAACGTTGGAAATGATATAAAATATCACAACAAAATGATATAACAAATCACGTACTGCTGTCGTGTTATATAAAAAATAGTGTTTTTTTATATTTTTTGCATATAACTGTTCTCAGAATTGCATTTACTTCTAGAAAAATTATAAGAATAATCCTAAATTGTTTTCAACAATTTTTTGTAAATGAACAATTAAATTATTATTAAAATTTTTCAAATCGTGTAAAGGAACACAGATGATTATTTTCATAAGGATTTTTTTTTCCTGATTAATTATTTAAAGTATGTAAGTTTGAAAAAAACATCATCAACTGAAATCTAAAAAATTTAATGAATAAAATTGAAAACAATTTTGAAATTTGTTACCCTAACCTTTTTGAGCAGAACAGCTTCACGAAGCGAAATTATTTCAGGTTCATTATTCAAACTATTATTCAAATTATTATTCACAGCAGAGATCTGATAATAATTTATTAATTAACAGAAGCATGACATCGTGCAAAATAAATATACTCCCAATCGGAGCTTATTCTTTGTAATGTTTTGAATAAATCATGATTTTTTAAATTTTTGAATAAACATTCAATGTTGTAAAAAAATATTTTCGATGCATCGCTCTTTTCAGCGGTAAAACAGATGTGCGGAGCCCTATTTTCAGCGTTAAATTAAAATTATAAATAACGAAGGTGAATTTCCGAGAATCTTATTTATGTGGAATTTTCTCTTTCTTGAGAATATTTTTGTTTCATTTTTCAAGTATCAATAGTTTTAATGTTATTGACAAGAAACCGGAGTACCTCATTTTTCCTCGATTGTTTTGTTCATATCATTTATATTTTTATACCCACTGTAGAGCCCTTCGAATACATTTTTCTAGGGTTCATTCCAAATAGAAAGTTCCACTTCAATATGAGTCTGTCTCTGTGAGTTGAACATTGACTAGTCGAACATATTAAACATATGTTGGCGGTCAGTAGCCAGGCGGTTCAACGCGGGTGCTTTCTTCACTCACTCGAATTGACTGCCGTGTTGGTCGGTGGTTCATGCCCTAGTCTGAACGATCGATTTTCACTTGCTATCGTCCAACCCCTGTTAGGAATCACACGTTAAAAGGTAAGACCTCGTTAATCCTCAGCTCGCACAAGTTTAGACTTCTGAGGGTTGTCTTTCGTAGGAGTGCGACAGCAGGTTAACGGAAAAACAGATTTTAAACAGACAGATAGACAGCTATGTGGTTAAAAGAGTTTGAAATGTAATTGTTAAACTTTACGGGTGTTCTTAAAGTTATGTACGCGGAGCTCAAAGTTGATAATTTCACTTTGATAGCCGCACGGACGGAATAAAGACATATCGGTGATGAATGAAACGTTTTTGAATGGAATATATATTGAAATATCAATAACCAAATGGTATTCCGATTGATATTCTACATTTTTCCACATAATAGGGTCAATCACTGAATACTTTGTAATAGCCATCGCGCAAAAAAATATAACGTTTGGCGAACATTCCAGTATAACAAAATTAAATAATGGTTTTATCAAATAATGGAAACTCAATCAAACAAATTGATATATCATTAGATTATCCAAGGCATACAATGCTGACAAAAGAGATGAAAATTGAAATTTGTACCGGAACTTTTCAGTTTTCCGTCATGAATCCAGTGCAGCGTTCATAAACCAAATTTGCTAATAGAGTGTGTTTTTTACGGAGTTGCTGCAGTCGACCGTGAAACTTTTCCATGCCGCTTTCGAAGTGTGAAATGGCTTGATTAGTGATGTTAACGAACATCCAAAATAAAATATTTACAAAGTTGTTGGCAAGGTAGTTTGACGAGCAGAAGTGTGGTAATTTGTTCACAGGATCTGAGATGTTCGCATTATTTTAACAAAGTAATTGCATTTGCAAAAGTGTATACACTGGAAAAATGACTGAAATCAACATTGAAATGTTGATTCTGAAAGATGAAAATTAGTTTATTGATATTGAAATTAATATAGTTTAAAAAACTAAAAACACGCTTTCAAAGAACATCGAACTAAACATTTGAAAGCTAAAAACCAAAAAGTTGAAAATAATTTTTTTAAATAAGCTTAAAACAATAACGAACGAAAAATACTAGTATTATTGTGAAAAAAGCGAAGGGCGCTTGATATAAAAAAATGGCACAAAGCGTCCACGCTTTTTTCACGATAATACTATTATTTTTCGTTCGTTATTGTTTTAAGCTTGTATAAAAAAAGTATTTTAAAATTTTCAGTTCGATGTTCTTTAAAAGCGTGTTTTTTAGTTTTTTAAATGACATTTATTTTTCATTTTTCAGTTTCTTATGATATAAGCCGTATATTGTTTGGAAAAATGACCATTGATATTTTCCGATTCCGGAGAGGAAGCCTGAAAATTAGCTACCAAGCCCAAGGCAGCAAGCGCGCAAAGGAGGGTTACAAATAAGGCAGTAGGCGTGCGTGTTAATAAAAAAATATTGTTTTCAATTGAAGAAATACATGTAAAGCGAGTTCGAATTATATTAAGGACGTTACGTACAGCGCCATCTGCCCGCGAATAGATCAAGCAATAATGTCGATATATCAAGGAGATTGCGTGCAGCGCCATCTGCCCGCGAATAGATCAAGCAATAATGTCGATATATCAAGGGGGTTACGTACAGCGCCATATGCCCGCGAATAGATCAAGCAATAATGTCGATAATTCTGTCAAATACAGATCCCAAGCTTAAGAGTTACACACATACATACATACATACAGGTGAAGCTAATAAAAGTGTGTTAATTGAAAAAATACACTCTTTTTCTTAAGAATCGAAGCTTCACTTAATCTATGTGTGAAATCATAACGTTTTATGTTTTGGAAAAGGAATTTTCAACTGAATGATGGATATTTCTGGCGACAAAAATATGAATTTTCGTTGTGTTAATCGAAAGTACAATCTTGCTTATAATTGTAATCCTTTATTTCTTGTATAGAGAGGAGCAGTTGAATGTTCGACGTGTGTATCAAGATATTTCTGGGTGTTTGTGTGAAATAAGTAAAGAAGGTGACTATATTTTTTGTGAAATTTCATTAATAAGTCGCCGAAGGACGATTCAATTCATACAGTCTTCTTATTATAAAGTATAGACTGTTTTTTAATGATAACTATATCCTAACCTAACAACACGAATGATTTTACCTGTTTCGTATGATCAGTGTATAACGTGTCAGCAGATTTGTTGAATCAAGTTGAGACAAAATCGTTGAGTATTACGATAATGGCTGAAAGTAATCTGATTCATGAACAATTATTTATAGAAAACACTTGAATCCGTAAATATAAATCAAATAGAAAATGAACAAGTGATGAGCCTCACTTCCGAAAAAGAAGTTGCCCACTTCATTATCATATTTGTCGCAACACAAACCAGTGTGTGCGATATGACTTCACGAAGTCTCTTCAGTAAAAATATTAATTCGGGTTTCATCCCCAAAAGAAAGATATTGTCTCCAGCATCGAATGATTAGAGTCTTCCATTGTAATACATCTCTTCGTCATATGCCTCAAAGGATTAAATGAGCTATTTTGTGCGACTTTCCAAAACAACACTTGCCATATATTCAGTAAGCATCTTGTTTACCTAAAAAAGCGTGCTTGTCGGAAAATATCGCAACAGCAGCTCTTTTCCTATTCATCACATCTCGTACTTATCCGAGATATACTATGGAAAACTGGAATACATCCATTGTTTCTCTTGTTGCACTCCTCACTCTTTCTGTTACATGTTGTATGAAAGCCACTCCAGAATTTCAACAGAGGCCTGGAATCGAACAGAGGCGTGGAATCGAACAGGGCCGTGAAATCGAACAGGGGCGTAGACGTTAACGAGACTATTTAAAATGTTCAGCAAAAGTGAGGAAGACTGGTATTTTTCACAAGTGTGAATTATTGTAACCTACCAGCCAACTTTCCTGAATTAAATCAATATAGTTGCTGATAATATATTATCAGCAACTAGGAAAAGTACTGTTCTGAGAATTGTTCTCAATGGACCCATAACATTTTTTTGTCCTACTAATTCACTAAGGTAAGTATTAACGTGACTTTCAGTCAGCCACGTTCAAAAAATGAACTTATCTATTTTCAAATCGCCAAGATTTCGTTTTTGAATAGAGACTTTCTCAGCACGCTAAAATGAAATACAATAGGAAATAAGTGAAAAAATGAACAATACTTACAAGTTTTATGAGTTTAACAAGTTATAATGAATTATTAAATGAAGAATTGTTTTACAAAATTACAGCATTGACGGTAATATTGTCATAATTTTTATATACCTGATAATAGTAATGTCATGTTCAAAGCTTACCGTAATGACGAGAGAGATATTATCATTGATAATATTTCTATTTAATAAATCATCTTTTAATGAATTTTAGACAACGTGTGACTATTTTGAATTCTTTGCATAGTTATCTTGACTTTTTGAGTACTACTTGACTTTTCTACCACTGCTTTCGTAGCATCTTCAAAATCAGTAACCTCTGAGTTGTATATAGTATTGATACTTTCTTGAACTGAGACTTTGCGAAAATATGATTAACAGGTTTCGTTTTCTAACGTCGAAACCAACTGTCAGAAATTTTGAAAGCCAATCTTTTTTTTGTCGAGAACTGTCACGCAAGCAACAATAAATGCAGAAAATTGTTTAAAATCTTCTAAATAATTACAAATTTCATCAATAGAAAATGAATTCAACACAGGGGAATAATTCAATTCAATTTCGCCATTGAACAGTTGTTAAACATTTTCAAGTTAGTGAACTCCCAAGCATTATTGGAAATTGATTTTTGTATATAGCGCTCTTTTCATGTAATTTTACTGAAGGATAGTTTACTACTGTTGAATTCGTCTTTCCACTGAAAATCTACTTATATTTTCATACATTTTTTGAAGAATATTTTCTTCATTCAACTAATATAAAATTTGAAGGTTTTTGAAACTCAAAACAAATTTTTATTATTATATACTTTCTGAATTCAAGTACACGTTAAGATGAACTTAAAGATTAAAAATATCCATATCAGGTATATCAAGCGCTAAATCTTCAGGCACAGGAGACGGGGTTGCTCTTTGCTCTTCTTCGACGACATAACCCTCTCGGCCGTATTGCTTCTGAAGATATTCAATTATATCCAATAGAGACTCTTCGGACTCATGTACTGGAATTGGTACAGGTTCCGGAGGCAGCAATTCAGTTTTATATTCAGTAACAGAACGAGCTCTCCAGATGGGAACAATTCCTCTTGGATTACCGCGATATTCCGTTTCCTGGTTTTCCGGATCCAACTCTAGCTCCTCCACACCAACATAGTCAAATTTGGGATCCTTCATGTTGATGTAGTATCCATGCTGCATGTATTTGGCATCAAAAGTGAAACAACCTGGGCCTTTGGGAAGATTTTTTTCGAATCTTCCGTGGTATCTGTGGAAATTTGAAAGGTGATGCATGTGAATAATTATAATTCTTGAGTTGAATGTACAGCATGCAGATCAAAAGTAGATATAAACTCATGCATGACTTATCTGAACAGAACAATAATATATTAAAATGTTTATCATATATCCATTGAAACAAATTGACATATTTTTGGCTTTCTACTTTTCCATCACTGAACAATATTTTTGGGAAAACTTCCATAAAAAAATGAACTTCTATAGGAACTTTTCATATTATAGTGCATATACATAAGTTTCCTTCAAATATTAACTAGAGAAAAAAAACCTTTCGACACAACTACATTGAATTATTCGAAATTTCCCATTCGGTTTGTACCACAAATATTCGCTACAGAATTTTAACATAGAAACGCTACACAATGTGATTTATGAAAGAGTAAATATGAGCGGTGACATACCCCCTCGTAAAAACGCCATCAACGACACTGACAGCGAACAATCCTCGAATATCAAAAGATAAACGAGGCTCCCCAAGGCGATCATTTGCAAAGCAGGAGCAGATTTCACTGCAAGGCAACTAGTTGAAACCAGAGCCCAAACATAAGCATTCTTCTTTGAGGTACAATGGTGTACTTCGGAGTTTCAGGACAAGACATTTGTATTCTCACTTCATCTACATCGTTTTCGATAACATAACATGTAGAAGTAGAAAGCGTAAAACCTTTTCTTGAAAAATACCGATATACCCTGAAAATATTTCATTTGCAATTCAAATGAAACCCCCATGACTGGAATTAAATAACAGTATGGATGTGAATACATACTATCACCGTGTCTAAAGCAGCAATGGTTCTGATGAGGTGATAAGAAAACTGTCTTATTCCGAAATTTCGAAGTACACCACTGAGGATGATAGTGTCCCATGTAAGTGACATTTCATATCAATACTCTTCCATATATCACATTCTGTAGCGTTCTTATTTGTAGAAAAAACTGAATGAGAAAAATCGATTTTCGTGTAACTCAATGTCAATATGAAAGTAGTTGTTTTTTCTTTCTTTCAATTTGTATTCGAGAGAAATTTTTGTGTATACACTACATATCTCAATAAAGAGTTTTTACCGCAATTTTTTCCCTCAAAAATTCACATTTTTTTGTCAATGATGGAGAAGTGGAAAGCACAAAAGCTTATTTTCCAAAAAACTCATTTCTCCCCAAATTATTTCTTTTCAAAGTAGAAAGATATATTTCCATTGTGATTAGATGTTTCGGATAAGTTTCTATTCAATTTAAAGAGCTCAACCAGAAAAATTAATTGAGAGCTATGCCAATTCCAAAGTTTTTGAGTGGATCATATTGCGTCAAAAATAAGTTGTTCATATTAAATTCTACGAAAACAAATGAAAATTTTCAATTTTTATCATTTATTGATTAAATTTCTGAATTTCCAGGAAAGAACTTTCATTTCAGTATCACAAAGGTCAAATCTTTATTGTAATAGTTGAATCACCAAAAATAAATTGAGTCTGCTTAATTTTTTTTCCACAGTATAAACAGTTCGACATCCGAATATCTAGGTAAAGACTATCGTGATCAATTATGCAATTAAACATTTTTTTCAACTGAGAAGATATTTTTATTGATTTATACACAAACTTAATTTCGATAACAGAATTTATAGATTTATGGTAATTTTGTGAAATCCAGAATATATTTTATGTTCTACAATCTTTCGAAGATATGCTTTTTCTATTAGATGTAAAATTATTTTCTTTTGGGAAATGTCATGAAATTTTCAGATGATATTTCCGTATATATTTATAACAAAAAGGTCTATATCAAGGAATAAAATAAGAATAGGCGGAATTTACTGGTGTCATTACAGACAGTCTACAACTAATTTCTATAAACCGGAAAAACTGTTAGATTTGCCATCCCCACATGAAGTCAAATTATGTTTCTTCGTATACAGAGCATTCCAGTTGAAATAATCCACCCTCAATAAGATATTTGATATTGAGACTATAAAAAAGTCATAAAACACGTGTACTTCAGTACACGTGTTTATTTTCAGAGGGACCCATTTTTACGTAGAAAGGTAGCCTCTTGTCAGCCATCATAACAACCCAAGAAATTTCATATTAGAAAAATTGTCGAGTGATACGTTATTTGAAAAGCCTTCCAATACTGCATCCAATTCAACTTCATAACGATAGGCAATGTCAGAAAAAATACATCACTTTCTGAGTTTGTATTTACTTTCCAATTAGAAAGTAAAATTTTATGATGCAAACATCCTCATGGAAAAAAGTCCAGTGGAGTTAAATTGGAAAATCTGGGTGGTCATTCTGTAAAACCGCTCCTTCCAATCCATCGGCTCGAAAAGTTATTATATAGAACTGTTGCAAAGGTACTACACCATAAGGAGGAGCCCAATCGTTTTGAGAAACTTGTCTATTTCACAAAAGAGAACTGGATGTCGTTATTCATGCTTGGCATAACCTAATTATTCAGCAAACTGAAATATCTCATACCATTTATGTTTACTTTCGAAAAGAATGGACCTTTGATATATTTACTCAAAATTCCTGTCTGAATATTCAGTTTTGAGAGATATGGGGTGTGAATTTGAAGTACCAAATTGGGATTTGAATCACATCGGTATCGGAAAAACTTACAAAATTCAATTTACAAATCATCTCCGTTCAATACACGAACCATTTTCATTTTGTGATGGGGGAATTTGGGTCGATGAAAAATTCTGAAAACGTTTGTATTACTCACTCCAGAGACTGCGTATTCTATATCAAAAGGCAACGTGACTTTTGATAACGTTTGTTATTAATAATATATATACAAAATAACAGAACTACAATATAGAGAAAAATTTCAATACATTATTGAGGTAAAATAAATGTAGGAAATCTCAAAAAAGCTGGAGAAAGCTTGTCTTTGAGGAGTTTCAGTTCAACATTTGCAATTATTTCAAAAGGTAATCTCAAAAACGCTCGAGAAAGCTTTTGTTTCAGGAGTTTCAGCTCAACATTTGTAATAATTTCAAAAAGTTGTGGTGTAATATACGCAAAATATCTCTGTCCAACTGCTTTTCTAGCTTGCAATAAGTGTATCTTATGTTCATTTCTGGTATAGTGGATATAATTTACGGTTTGTACACTGAATTTTCTATCGTTATAAAACATCAGTATATTTTTCGCGTGATATCCATCAGATTCATTCGCGTCTGTAAATTATTGATTACTGGAATATGTGAAAGGAACTCCCAACATTGCCTTCAATATCATTTTTGGTAAGATTTCTAGCGGATAAGTAGCGGAATGTGGCAGTGACGTACTCTCCCCCCCATGCTATAATTTCGTTTGCAGTAGAGATTCCACAAGAGCATGGTACAGTATTTTTGGTTTGGGGAAGGGCATAAAGTTATTGAACTGGTAAACCCGTAAATAAGGGACCGAATTTTATTCGAGAGTTCCGTGATGTGATTATTCCATTTCCAAAAACTATCAATGTGGACGCCTAGGTACTTGGCCATTTTTTCAACTCAAATTTCTTCATTTTCTATCCTGACGGTGAAGCTTGGTAGGTTCAATTCATAAGATGTGAAAGGTAATATTTTAGTTTTCTCAATATTGACAGTGAGTAGATTCAGTTTGAATCACCCAATAATATTTTAAATGTCTTTTTCTGCTTTCTCTTCAACTTCGCCCCAAGAATTACATTATAAATGAGTGCCGTGTCGTCAGTAAAAGAAAAAACAGTACCTAGGGATCGTATCTTCAGTTTATATAAATAAGAAACAAGACAGGTCCCAGAACAGTACCTTGGGGTACTCCAAATCGAACAGTTTTTTCTGTGCTATAAGTTTTGTTCACCTCTACCATTTGTTTTCTATCATCTAGGTAATTTTTGATAATGCTAAGGATTCTGCCACGAAATCCTAGTCGTTCCACTTTCTCCAGCAAAAGCTTATAGCTAACCGTGTCGGAAGCCATGCAAGATCTACAAATACACCCAGGCATGGACAACTGAAATCCAGGGCCTGATATATTTTTAAAATAAGCAGTGCAAGAGCATCTTGGGTTGAGGTTTTTCCCTGAAACCAAATTGCGAACTGAAGATAACATTGTCACCATTTTTATAGATGGGCTTAATGATTGCACATTTGAAATGAGATGTTACTTTATTTGTTTGGAAGGAAAGATTGAATAAAAATGTTAGAGGCTCATCTATATACTCGCAGTTATTTTTTAGTATTTCATTCGAAATCCTGATCGGTACTGGTGCTTTAAAGTCTTCAAGTTCGTATATGGTTTTGCGCACATACCTTATTTCGACTTTCTCAAGGAACATTAACAATAACCAAACGTTATTAACAATAATAATTTCCATGAAAGTATGTAACAATTTCAATACATACTTATGTTTTTCATTTTTGTCTTACATTTCTGCGTTTCACGATTTTTCTACAAAATTATTTCCAAATGACTTATTGTAACTTTTTTTAACTAGAATGCACTATGCTTTGTATTCAGGTAATCAAAAAGTTACAGATGTTAGGCAAGACTAGATTTATCATAAAGGTATCAAGTTCTACAATTGAATCTGTTTATATGTTCTCTGATATTCATCTACACAATGTTGATATAATATTTTTTATTGAATTTTTCAACTTTGACTTCTGATTTTTTTCCATTTGTTCATACCTACGTAGTAATATTATTATTTAAAAAAAATTTTCTCCTAGCATAAACATGTATATCAAATAAATGAATGAAGGAATGAATAAGTCACAAAATATCATAAATATCAACATATTGAAGTCCAAGGATGTTAATCTATCGAGCAAAAAATAAGGTGGAATATCACTGTCTTTCGATATTTGAAGCGCCATAATTTCGAAATGAAGCAATTTTCACCCCAGAATCGTGTCCTATTCATCATTTTATATGGATGCAAAATTTTTTTCAAAATATTCTGCAGGCAAAATTTCGAATATTTACCACAGTTATTTACCTAAAGAACGGGTAGTTCAATATACCCGGACCTTCCATTCGTCCTTCTTTCCAAGTTCCATAGTGCGTTACGTTTGAAGACTTGTAAAAATAGTTGCCCAAACCATGTCGCCAGCCTTTGTACCAAGCTCCCTCGTAGGTGTCTCCATTGGCATAGTAATAAGTACCTTGTCCGTGTTTCAGGTCTTTTTTCCATTCACCCACATAGCGGGTACCATCTGGATAAATGAATTCCCCTTTGCCGTGCTTGACGCCTTTTCTCCATGTTCCTTTGTATCGGGCACCGTTTTTGAAACAGTATATACCTAGGAAAATTGAAAATTGAATTCAAACAATTGCTTCTATCTGTGATGAAAAAAAGTTGCAGATTCTGAAGAATGATTTTGTGGATATTTTGTCTGCCGACAGCATTAGACATTGTGCTGAGTTTGCCAAAAAACATGCTACTGTGGTTTAAGTTATACTTGAATATTCGTAGCACTATTGTGAAGCAAGGAAATTCAGTGTTTAATGAACACGAAGTTAGGTTGGGGGTTTCTTAAGGCTCTGTTCTTGATCCTCTAATACAATAGGATATTTATAGCGCAAAGACCCATTGTCAAATTGATGTTCAATATAGAATATAGAGATAGTTGTAAACTGATACCAATACCTGAGAACGGAACCATTATCGGCTCCATCAATATATTTGTTCGAATGTTTGAATCTTGTGAGAAAAAAGCTGTCCACTTTTGCAACAAATGCATCATCCCAGGAATTGGCCAATTTTTTCAAAAACTCTAAATAGAACGAAATATTTCATAATGATTCTAAGGGATTTTTTTACTGAAAATATTTACATATTGTATAGGAGTATCTAGACTCGATAAGTATAGATAAGTATAGACTCGATAAGAACTTTCATATATCAGAGCTTAACTTTTATCCTAACGTGAGTCCCATATGACAGAATTTTTCACGGAAAATTACTATAAATTCCGCTTATCATCAGAAAAATAAACTAATGTTTCGCCAACGAACTGGTGGATATAATACAGCTGGATTGTTCTTGAAACTTTACAAAAAAAGTCAAACAATACCTTTTCCATGTCTCTTCCCATGGTAATATTCACCCTCGTAGATATCTCCATTAGGTAAAAGAGCACTTCCAAACCCATGTCTATCCAGCTGATCATCTCTGCCTCCTTCATACTCCCCATAGGGATATATTTCTTTTCCTTCACCTCCTTCACCTGCAATTTCCTTATCTTCGTCTTCCTCATCAGTATCAGACATCTTAGATTTCTCCTTTTACTGATTGAAATAAATCTCGATATTTATTTCGAGAACTTTATTGACATATGAAAAGTAGTCATTGACAAGACGTTTATGAGGCATGTGTACAGAGTGGTATGCGTCAACTACTAACTGAATAGACTCGGAGAAAATTAATTTTGAAGTTAGCAATTTTGACATTTATTTGACAGGGCTGAAAGTAACACAATACAGCTTCAATTGAAATGTGGTCCCTTCCAGGTGTTTGAATTTACATCTCACTTCAAACGTTAGGAAAATCCATTGTGACAATAAAGTTTCTAGTCAGTAATTGAAGGGTTACCTTGAAATTATAGTTTAAACTGTAAGTGAGCAGAATTTTCAAAGACTTTCTTTTTCTGTGGTATATTGTATTTGAAATATATATGTGGCTGTTCAAAAAAACCTAAATGTTGACATTTCGCGGGCAACGTATATTCTATTAGCAATTTTTCCATGTTGATACACTCGTCTCAAACAGTTTTAGCTGTTTGATATGTTGATTTTGTTGGTGAGAGGTATAAAAGCTGAAAGTGCTCTGCATTTTCGGCGATTTTCTGCTATCGACAAAAATGGATCACAGAATTTGCATAAAATTGTGTTTAAAAAAATCTAACTAAGTGCTCAAAAAGCCTAAAAATATCAACAGTGGCCTACGATGATTGTACTCTGAATCAGAAAAATGTACAAGCTTTCCACAGAAGGTCGAGAAGATGTGAAAGACGACGCTCGCCCTGGATGCCCCAGCACATCAACAACCGACGAAAATGTTGAGAAAGTGAAGAACATTGTTGTAGAGAATCGTCGAATAATATAGTGGAGTCTCTGAGGATTTCGGCATATGGGTTGGCTTCTTCGATGTAATTTTTCTGAAATTATGGGTTTGAAACGTCTGGTAGCCAAGTACGTTCCAAAATTGCTTAATTTTGACCTAAAAAAACATCGCATGAGCGTCCCTCGGGAATTGTAAAATGTAATTGTAATTGTGAAATGAATAAGTATCTACATATTCGAATCCAAGAAAGGTAATCTATAGAGCATAAAACAAGGTGGAATATTACCGCCTTTCGATCTTAGAAGCGCCATAGTTTCGGAATGAAGGTATTTTCACCCCAGAGTGTCCGGCTCATTATTTTACATAGATACAAACCAAATTGTTTTCAAAATATTCTGCAGGTAGAATTCCGAATATATACTACAGTTATTCACCTGAAGAACGTGTAGTTCAATATACCTGGACCTTCCATTCGTCCTTCTTTCCAAGTTTCATAGTGCGTTACGTTTGAAGACTTGTAAAAATAGTTGCCCGAACCATGTCGCCAGCCTTTATACCAATCTCTCTCGTAGGTGTCTCCATACAGTCTACATACGTCTACAGTCTCCATACGTCTCGAACAGTTTTCTGCTGTTTGACATGTTTATTTTGTTGGTGAGAGGTATAAAAGCTGGAGTGCTTTGCATGTTTGGCGCATGAGCGTCCCTCAGGAATTGTAAAATGTCGTCAACGGCAAACCAGATTTGCTTGAAAGGATCATAACTGGTGACGAATCATAAGTTATGACATCGAAACCGCTTGTTCGTAATTTTCGACCAAAAACAACACCATAATCATGCCTCAGCCACTATATTCACCAGATTTGTCCTTCTGTGACTTTTTTGTTCTCAAGAATGAAGATAGCTGAGAGAGCTCAAAGACGTACCAAAAAGTGCTTATCAGAACTGATTCGAGAATGGATAAAACGCTGGCAAAGTGTATTATTATATCTGTATGTACTTCGGAAAGTACAACATAAAAATTGATAAAAATTACAGAAATTAAAATTAACCTCATTTTTTTAATAGAGTAGTTTGTCTCAAATATTCAAGTATTGAGTACATGCAAAACTCAAATATAACAAGATCAGTGAGTAGGTGGTGGAGACCGAGATGATTGGCTTTAGGAGTAGGTGACTTGACTCTTTATAATTTGTTGGGGAAACTTCTATTGTGATCGACGACTACGGGCTAGAATTATATTCCTTGCTCTGTGCATTCGTCAAAAATGAGGTTTTACTAGTGTTGCCAGAAACTGATTTAAAAAAAAACATTTTACGTATAATCTTTCGATTTTCCATTCAAAATTAATATATAATATGAAAAAATGGAAATTTTAACAAAATCAAAATATCAGTGAAACGCTTACGTATATCAGTTAGAAAAAATATTTTTACTGATTTACAAAATTTTGTCAATACTATCAATTCAGTTTTATCTTTATTTGGTAGTTTTTCATTATTGATATAATAAAAAGGGAGTAAAAAGCCAAAAAAAGGTTTTTCTAGAGTTTTATCGAAATGTGAAAATTGAGAATTACTAACAACAAATAGTAATTGATAATTAGAAATACCAATAAATAATAAATGTTTTCTTTCGTTCAACAGGAAGATACTTCAAATATTCAAATTTTTAAAATATTCATTGTTTTATTCAGGAATTTGTTGTGCCACCTCAGTTCTTAGTCCAAGTTGCTAAAATGAAAATCCTTCTCGTCAGGAAACACTTCACAAAAATGATTGAATTCAGAGATCAAAACAATATTGTAGATGTCTCACTTGTCAAACCACAATGGGTACGAGAAAATAAATAAATGGTGTGACGTACAGTGAATATGTATATTCCAAAACAATCAAATTCTTATTTATGAACACTCAGAATATTTTCATTTGAAATCTCTCATGATACTTTTAAATTACATTTATTACTACTCCAATATAAACGCTTCATTTTTCACCAAAACATTTCACATTTCAAATAATTTTCTTTTGTTAAATGAAGTGAAATAGTTAAAAATATTGAAATGAAGTGAAACGTTTATTGAATATTTCAGGTGGAAGCACATACCTTGTATTAAGTTCTATACCACAACGTCTAATGAATTCATATTTGTGAAAATCTCCAACAATTATACCGGGTTTTAGAGAACAATACCTAGGGCTCCATTCCGAATTAGAATTTTTACTCTCCACTGAATTGAAACCATTTTCATTCAGTTCTCTCCACTCAGTTAAATACAGATTCCACTTTATGTATTTCACCATTTACATCTTTGTCTAATCCTAAATGAAGTTTCGCGTCTTTGTATAATTAAAGAATACATTAATTACGATTCCGGCCTCCTCTTAATTAGAATGAGTCAGTAGTGTTTCAGAGAGAACTCATTATGGAATATCCGCAAAGCTGTTACCAGCTGAACGAAGCTGGTTATGAAAATCAGTCATATGATGAAAACTTTCATTTTCATCGCTGAAATTGTTTCTGTTCCCCAAAAAGTGATTGGAATAGCATTACAACGATCCAAATGCCATTATGTTCCTTAAATATTTTCCAGAACGAATATATGAATGTAGACTTCTAGAAGCAGAGGAATAATAAATCTGTTGAATTTGTCACCGCTTGGAACATCAGAATGACTATAAAAACATTTGAAATATTCGAAAAATAATTAAGGACTAAACAAATTGACGATATTCAGTTTCTTAGTTTATGACACTTGTCATACTGCGTCCAAAGAAAATACACTGTTTGGAACCTTTGGTGTAGTAATGAAAATGACTGGAGTTTTATCCCAACACCAAACCGTTATTTCCAAACACGTGACTAGACAGGTAAATCTGATAACTAGAAATAGTATTTCAACAAGCTACATAGGTCGGTAGCCAGGCGGTTCGACGTGGGTGCTTTGTTCACTCACTCGAATTGACTGCCATGTTGTTGGTCGGTAGTTCAAGCCCCAGTCTGAACGATCGATTTTCACTTGCTATCGTCCAACCCGTGTTAGGGATCACACGTTGAAAGGTAGGACCTCGTTGATTCTTAGCTCGCACAAGTTTTGACTTCTGAGGGTTGTCGTTCGTACGGGTGCGATAGCTGGTTAACGGAAAAACATATTTTAAACATGGTGAACTATCAGGTGTTGGTCTACCATCGTTATTCAAAATATTATTATGTTTACTCATTTATAAGCTCTCATAGGCAACTAGATGCCTGTTATTGTTAATTTGTTTAACTATTCTTGATGAAGTGAAGTATATGAAATGGTTTTGTTGCAAAATATGATGGGCTTCTGCTGATTTTTCTGGTCTTCCATATTTTAGATGTGCTAAGTGTTCCTTATATCATATTTTAATAGATCTTTTCGTCTGTCAATAATATTTTGCATTTCCTAAAAGGCTCTGTAGTGTATGACTAGTTTTGAATACCACCTTCAGACCTAGTTCCCTGAAAATCTCTCCACAGTTTTTCGTATATTGGTGGTATGGAACTGAGATATATTTATTTTGGTTTTTGTCCTTTCTAACAGTCGAGATTTCGTTCATTCTTAACCAAAACTTGTTCTTTCGTATAATATCATCAACAATACCCCTCGAGAAACCGTCGCTCACTGCTAATTAGTGTTGGTATAAAACTCCAGTAATATCCAAAAACAATTGAGGTTATGTCATTTGTGATTATGCACTCATAAATTGTTATGTCACAATAGAAGCAAAGTTAGCACCATCCATCTCAATGTTATTTATGATACCGCGAAAATCCACAACGAAGCCGTGATGAAATCATTAAACTGCAGATGAAGAAAAAATCGCATGAGTGGAGCGCCGCGTTTTTACATTAGATTTCCAGTTTGTTTTGGCTTTTGCACAACTGTTTTACTGTTTGAGAGTTCCAATCTACTGACGATATAATAATTTTGAAATGACTGTGATAACAGAAATACAGCCCATGTAGTAAAACATTTCACCCAGATATATTGCCAGCCACTGTCTCAAAATTCACTTAAGCTTATGCTCTTCCTCTAATTGACAACCCATAACAAACATAACTCACATATTTGATTAAGTCATATATTTCGTGTTCTGCATAGAGTAATCAGGAGGTGGGGAAGCAAATAGGAACAGAATAAATAGAGAGAAAAAAGTGTTAGGGATGAAATTATATCACAAACAAATCATCTTGAGATGTCGAGTATTGAAGTTGTATTTTCAAGGAGAACATTTTCAGTATTAGTTTTTCATCATTTTCATATTTGGATGGGGAATATTATATAGCTTCGGAATATAATAGAAGAGGAACCTTTGTGTGTGACTTTTTTGAAGAAAGGTATACTGATAGAAAGA